ATTATTGGGAAATGCATGGAAAAGACATTGAATGATAAAGCGGGGAGATTGATGTCTCTGTATTGACTGACATGCATGGCATTCCCTTTTGAAAAAGCAATGGAAGTCAATGTAAAGTTATATGTAATCCAATGTAATATAAAGAAGACTATGATGATAATAAAAATTAAAAAAAAGAGATACAAGAGTCCACCAGGTAGAGCATGGTAGGTAGTGGATGGGACACCAGCAAAGCTTTGGAGATCACACGTGAAGAAACAAGAGAAAGGTCCATGTTCATTGTCAAGTCCCTACCCACACTTTTTCTTGAGTGTCTCCCATAAGATCAAATTCAATGCCCAGTATTCAGAAATAAAAGATGTTTCAGAAAGAGTCCCTCAACAGCTGGCCCATCGAAAGTAGGAGTATCCTCTAGTCCTGCTCCCTCGCCCACCTAATGTCTCACTCCCAACACTCTCGTCTGCCTGACCTACTGACCAGTCAGTCATTACATAATCCATAGGTCCAGAGTCCCATTCTTTCCCCCTAAATCTTGGATCCTGTCCAAGACACAGGCAGGTGGACATGCAAAAAATCTCACCACATTCCACTCAACTTTGCTCTAGTTTTGTGGTTAATCATCACCCTACACCCACCACCAGAAACTTTTTGTTTTTCTTTTTTTGGAGAGGTTTTTGCTATAGGGTACGTGCGCTCACCAGACAGACAGAGAGAATGGAGAGACAGAAAGCGAGAAATCACTCCCCAGGGGGGATGGCCACGCCACAATCCCTTCTCCTCCAGTCTCCTCTCGGGATCTTGGGCACGCACGCACACACGCCCGGCGTGAGTTTAAGCCACCGGGTCCAGGACTCGAACCGCGGTTGACTATGGGGGAGTTCAGTGACATAGCCATTACACTAATTGTTGGTCCCCAACACATGATATTTTTTTAGGGGGGCATATTTACCTATAGAGGCTGAATCTCCCAGTCAGAGTCCTTTAAAAAAATACTGTTTTATTGGGTTATAATTTACATATCATACGATTCACCTATTTACTTTTCAATGGTTGGTTATGTTACATTATTACTTTTTTTAATTGGAAAATGTATACAATGTAAAATTAGACACTTATTTTTAAGTGTACAATTCACTATTTTGTGTAACATTATCATTTTTTATTTCCAAAACTTTTGCATCACTTCAAATATAAAGTGTGTAGCAATTGGAACTAGCATATGGCACAATGGTTACGTTGCTGGATTTCCAGGTACTTGACCTTGGTTTGAGTCCTGGATCCGACAACTTAAAACTCACACTGGACACATGTGCATGCATACCCCAAATCCCAAGAGGTAAATAATGGAGAAAGGCTTGCACGTGGCCATACCCCTAGGGAGTGATTTCTCGCTTTCTGTCTGTCTCTCTCTCTCTCTCTGTCTCTCTGGCAAGCACACATACCCTATAGCAAAAATTTCTCTAGAGAAAAAAAAATGTGTAACAATTAAGCAAAAACTCCCCATTACTGCCTTTTTCCTTCCTCAGGTAACTTCTAATCTTTTTCCTTTCTCTATGAATTTACCTTTTCAGTGTGCCATGTGTAAGTGGAATCACATAAGATTTGTCCTTTTGAGTCTGGCCTATTTCACCTAGTATTCTGTTATCGAGGTTCATTCATGTTGCAACATGTATCAGAACTTCCTTTTTATGACTGAGTAATATTTGATCTGTATAGGACACATTTTGAAATATCTATTCATCTATTGATGGACACTAGGTTCTTTCTAACTTTTGTCTACCGTGAATAATGCTGTAAGAAATATTTGCTTACTGGAGTCTGTCGTAACCTCTTCTTTCCATTATTTAGGTGTATCTTAGAAGTGGAATTGCTGATCGTATGGTGTTTCTGGATCTGTTTAGGAAGCACAACACTGTTTTCCACAGTGGCTGCATCATTTTACATTCACCAGCAATGCACAAGAGTCCCGATTTCTCCATATTCAGTCTGACATAGCCTATTTTCTTATTTATTTACTATCATTTTAACCATCTTAAAGGGTGTGTATTGGTATCTCATTTCAGTTTTGCTTTGCATTTTCCTAATGACCAGAGATCCTGGTCATTCATTTATGTGCTTATTGACTTTTTGCAAATCTTTTTTTGGAAAAGTGTCTACTGAAGTCCTTTGCTCAAGGACTTTTCAAATTGGGCTGTTTTGAGTGTTGTTGTTGAGTGTAGGAGTCCCTTGTATATTATGATATGACTTTTGAATATTTTCTCCCTTTCCGAGGATGCCTTTTAACTTCTGGTTTATGTCTTTGTGTCTTTTTATGTGGTGTAAAATGTCAATCTAAAATAAAAGATATCTGACTCAAAATGTATTTAACAAATGAAAAGTTTCATCTATGCCTAAATTGTGAGGATAGAAACCCAGGGAAATGAGGTCTCAGTTACCTGCACCAGTGCCTCTTAACAGAAATGGATTATTATCTGTTGATGATAACATGTATAGTATCCCCAACCGGACTAGGGTAAAATGTGTTAATGTTGGAAAATTCACCTTACAAAGTTATGATTGATGTATAAAAGAAATTAAAATAAATAAAATGTCATTTAAAAAGCAAGGTCCAAAGTTTATTTTCATATACAGAGAAAGAATGAAGGAGAAGAGAAGGCACCAGGGGTTGTAATGCAGTTTCCATTAGTTGACTTATTCAACTTAAGCTTTTCCTTGGATATAAATTCTCTCATGAGTAAAGTTTCATTATGTTCCCTGAACAACTGAAGCTAATCGCCTGAACAGAGTTTGAGACATTTTAACAAGACACTTGTAGAGCGGCTGCTTCAGGCTGCTTTTGTTTTGTCTACACACTGAACTGGTATTCATCCAGCAATACAAATTTCACCTTCCTTTCCAAATATGGCACCAAAGGGAACACAATGATCTACTGTGTCCTGATTTGTATTCTTTCCCTCTCTCACTCATTTATTAAGCCCTTAAGTACTTACTGGACATCATGGGCACAGTCACCTGTGCCATGCTGTGCGAATCATAAGGTCATAACTTAGACTGCCTATTGCAACCTCCTGGGAATTATTGGTTGTGGTGTCCAGACACCAAATGAAAGGGAAAGTTTTGTTGTTAAAACATCTTGATGATGCTGATATATACATATACATGATCCAAGTCTGACCTTAGGCATAAACTTCAGTGAGTAGAATGTATGTTGATGTGCTTGATTGAGCCAATATACGGTGTATTCTGGATGGAAAATTCATTTTGTATGCTGTAATGATGTATAGTGAATTAATGTAAATAAATAAATTTAAAGGAAAAAAAATATCTTAATGATGCCAAACACAATTTTCCTAAGGATTCAGTTCATCCTCTACATACAATGCTACATTCTGAATTTCTGCTATTTTTTTTCTGTTTATTTGTTTTTTCCTTGAGGACTAGAGAAAGACAGTGTCATTATTACTTTTTTTATTTATATTATCATCATAATCTTCTTTATATTACATTGGATTACATATAACTTTACATTGACTTCCATTGCTTTTTCAAAAGGGAATGCCATGCATGTCAGTCAATACAGAGACATCAATCTCCCCACTTTATCATTCAATGTCTTTTCCATGCATTTCCCAATAATTATTATTATTATAATTTTTAAAACAGTCAATCACTATTTCTCATTTTGCTTGTTAAAAGACTCCACCCATCATGAAATACTTCCCAGACCAGTCCAGTTGAGAATACTATACACGTCATCATCA